ATTAATAAATCATTTTAACAATCAAAGGGTTCTGTGGTAAATTGCTAAAATTACAGTATCAGGAGGTGACTCACCTCTTTAAAGAAGCGACGTCCCCTCTCAGTGTCCATCTTTGAGTGAATGAAATCCCAAGATGTTGTGACAAACACTTTGGCGCTATTCACCATGGTCTCTCTTCTTATTGTCTCATTGTCCTGATAAATCTTCTCCGTACTGGAAAAAAATCATAGTACATAATGGAAACTGTAGGCCAATGTGTGAAATAAGGTCTTGTGAATTCTAAAGTGATAGTCACAAGGCACATTTTTAAAACAAATAAGTCAAACTTTTGTTTTGCTATCAACCAGTCGTTTATTACAATTAATACTTATTGTTATACTCAAATAAAGTAAAAGAATATTTTGGATAACAAATGGCAGGTCTTTGTTAATTTACAATATTTCAATATTAACACCTTTTCATAACTGATCTTTAATGGCAGTGACCCCATGTAACACCCCATGATGGAATATATGATGTTATTTTATACCACAGCTTTGTTTGATTTTCAGTTCTAAGGGGAGAACCGGAAAATCTAAATAAGGAGCCAACTTCAGCCTCGTACATAAGGGGGGTGTTCTAACTTATTGTGAGAAATTATTGTTGTGAGTTAATTCAACGTTAACTTGGGAAAAAGGGGACAGCGGCAGTAAAACTGTATTTCACACTATCATAGTAAAACTTTGCAGTTTGGGGCGGGGTCACAATAATCAGGGTTTACGTAAAATAACTGCAGGGATGTGAATTTTTCTAGCTTGCCAGCTATTAAGTTACTCAAATTATCTCTGTTAACGTTATATTGTTACATATTAAAAACGAAAAAAAAAAATTCTAAGTTAGTTACATTCGTGCTATTTTCACCACTTTTAAATGTTTATTTTTTTGATGAACCTTACAACTAATGATAAGGAGGCGTAAAAGTTATGTTATAATTTAGTGTTACATGGAAACTATTTGCGTGGCGCAACCGATAATTTAATAGTAGTTTGTACACTTGAACATAGGGACAGTTTATGTACACCATACGTAGGCTACGATCAATCTTATGCTTGCTGGTACAACCCACTGCTGGACCAGAGGAGCGGGAAAGTTCAGATGAAAGCTGTCCATTTGAGTACTCTGTCAAAGTGACTCTTTATACTCTGACCCGTGGTTAATGATTAAGTACCAAAATGATTTTTCTGATGTGAGACATTTAGTAGAGATGGTACAGATGTTCACAATCAACTGAATAAATCAGGTTTTACCCACAACACAGCTAACTATCAGGGGAAACATAAGGATAAACCAATAAACATTATTTTATATATATTAGGGTGCATCAAACCCCCCAAGTGAAAAAT